AAGACTAATAATTTGTAGGTAAATTAAATAACGTCAAGGTGTGAGCCAGGGTGTGAGCAAAACACAAGATAGAGTGCAGACTGTGACACAGGAATCTAACTGGATTACAAATAAATCACATAGCCACACTGAAGCAGATGAAGAAATGAGTAACCTAAGTAACTTTGGAAAACAGTGTTTTGCCTAGATACTGTAAAGCTGATCACGAAAGGAGCTGTGCCTAAGTATTAAATGATAAAACTACTTTATATGTGTACTAGGATTCAAAAACATGCAGATATACCGAAGATAATGAGAGCCAGGTCTCCTACAGTCATAGAAATAAGTTAAGGCCAGCAAAGGGAAAAGCTTAGAATAAATTGTGGTTCTGGATTAGAGTAGGAATATCCATATGAACTCATGCTTTGTTTCTTTATATATATACACATTTATGTACAAGATATGTCCAGAAGGTATCCAGTCATGTAATATGAAACACAGAGAGATTTACTGAAGAAGATATAAGATACAAGAATGCTGTACATAGGACAATGACACACCACAGTCTCCTTTAAAGTAGGCACCTTGGGACCTCACACACCTTGGGTTCTCCCTGTTGCCATCAGCTGCCCCATCATCTTTTCCTGAATCTCAAAGACAGTCTGAAATCTCTTCCCTTTCAAAGATGATTTAGTTTGGGAAAAAGTCAAAAGTTGCAGGGCACCATATCTGGGTTGTGGGGGAACTGAGTCACCTGGGAGATTTGAAGTTTCACTGAAAAACTCTGCATAAATGTGATGTATGAGTCAGCACATTGTTGTTACAAAGCTGCCAATCACCAGTTGCCCATAGCTGTGGCCTTCAGAATCATCCAAATAGCTTTCACAGAGGAATGTTTAAGCTTAACGCAAAATCTGATGCGGATTCATTGCTCTACTTGCTCAGTAGTTTTTGAATTCAACTGCCACACAGTACACATGCTCATTCAACAGCATCTACTGCACCCACTGCCTAGTACAGTGAAGTCGTCATTGTTCACCCATGTGCATTCCAGTACAGTTCTTGACTGCCAGGTTACATCAATGTCATGCAAACAGTTCTTGTTATATTAACAATGGCTGGACTTTTTCTGGACAGACCTCACATATGTAAAAAAAACATACAGAAATATAGATATGAATGTATATGCCTGGACTGGTATTTATATATATTCCCTATCTTTATTTCTGAGAGGAACTAGCAGCAGTGTTACCCTGGCATTCAGATTTTAAATGCCCTTCTTTAATTTAAAAAAAAAAAAAACAGGGTTCCTCAGACAAGTGGTTGAATCCAGCACTGGGCAGGGAAAATATAAGACAAGCCTAGAAGTCTTGCAGTGACAAAAAGTAAGGAAGTGCTTAAAAAAAAAAAAGACGGGACACACAGCTCCTTAATGTTCTCTGAATGGCCGAAAATGGAACAATTTGAGTAATAAATGAACGATAGTATTAGATTATAACCCAAAGACCAAAATAAATATACATAAACCCATACCAATATAAATAAATAAATAATTAAATACATAAATAAATTGGAAATGTATGGCACTGTCTCTGCCTTCTGCCACCCCTTACTCACCAAATGTGTGTTTATAACAAAGTTCAAAATAAATAGATAGATAGATAGGAGAAAACTTCTCTTTATAAAAAAATTCCAATTAATAAGTGAGGAAAACAGAAAGTCACCATTATCACACCATGATAACTGTTGCTGGCAAGATAAATCAGCTAACAGTAGTGGGTGAAAGTTAAGGAGAAACAGGATATTTGCATAAACACCCACATACCACTGCCTATACTGCCTCATTTGCCTTCATAAATGTATGGTGTCCCACTGCATGGAGTTAACCCATGTATTTCTCATCTCATAGTTACCAGCTGAAACTTCTGTGGACCTACTGCTGTCAGAATGGAATGGAGAATGGGTAGGAGGTGGAATCAAGTTGTAAAGTATGGGCTTTGAAGAGAGATAGACCCAAGTCCAAATAACAGTCCTCTCACTTTCAAGCCGTATGGCTCTAGGCAAGTTACTTAACTTCCCCAAATCTCAGTTGTCTCAACAGTAAAATGGGAACACAGCTACTACATCTTAAGGTGACAGCTAGGATCAAGTGAAACAACAGATCATATAGATTCAACAGATGATGTACACTGCTATTATGATGATTCAATCAGAAATTTTCAGAAATATCAGCTGAACTGTGTGAGACAATTTAAAGAGAACACATTTCTTCCTGATTACACATTATCCTATTAAGATCAAAAGAGTAATCTTAGGAAATGTAAAATAGAGCTGCAGCAACATCACCATAACTTTGACTTTATTTTTATTTGGTCAGTAGAAAAAGTGAATATACTTTACCACAAAAAGTAATTGGTGAACTGAAGTTTCAGAGACCTTATAAGAAGCGTTAGTACTGGAGACTGACTCAACTAAAGGATAATCTTCGCTGTCCTGGCCTGATTGATTAAAAAGTCAGAGGCTCCTCTGAATTCTAATCTCTATATGCAGAGATAATACCAAAAGCTCTGGACTATCCACATAAGGTGAGAAACCATTCTCATTTCTCATTATCCCAACAAAATATGAGAACTAAATTTTTTGTTCACATTTCTTTATCCACAACATACTTTTTCAACTCCAAGGGGAAGTGGTTGTAGGTAACTTTGCTGTCATTTGTGTATTTGCAATGTCAAATCATTGCCAGCTCTGGAAGAAAGTAGATGCCTTTTCCTCACCTCCCAATAAAATATACAAATATCAGTAAAGGCGTGAGACATAGCCTCTGTCGGTAGAAGTGTTCAAAATTTGTTCATTAACTCACTCACATAACAAGGACTTACCAAGCTTCCACTGTGGGCCAGACGTTGTTTGGAGTCAATAATAAAAAGATCAAAGAAAAACAACAAAATTTCTGTCCTCAAATAGCCTACAGCCTAATTAAGGGGAGATAAGACATACTGACAATTATAAGGCAGTGCAATACGTACCTTGGGGGGCAATAGAATGGCTTCATAAAAGCGGTTAAGTTTCTGTGGAACTCACCTGACTGACAAGAGGAAGGGCATACCTGGCAGAGGGCACAGAGCCCGTAAGCACAAAGACATGCCAGGAGGCTTGAATTCAAGGTTCCCTTGGGGGAACAGGTACAGATGGGCTCGTGAATTAGGCTGAAGCCATTAGCAATTTGAATTTTATCCTGTTCAGTGGAAAATTACTAGTTCAAAGGGGGAACATTTAAATGTTTTCTAAGCAAGGGACTAAGAATCAGATTTACTATTTTTAAAAATCATTGTAGTAGCTATGTGAAGATGTATTGGGAATGGCGATTGGAAAACCAGTTAAAAAGCCATATGGTGCCCTGGCCCATGTGGCTCTGTTGGTTGGGCATCATTACACAAACCAAAAGGTCGTGGATTTGATTCAAGGCACTTGCCTAGGCTGCAGGTTTGATCCCTGGTCTGGGCACATACAGAAGGTAGCCAATCGATGTTTTTCTCTCTCAGTGATGTTTCTCTCCCTCTCTTTCTCCCCGCTTCCCCACTATCTAAAAAAATAAATATTTAAAAAAATAAAAGCCTATATGATATTATAGTGAGAAAGGATGTGGTCCTCATGGAATCCATAAGGTTTCCATGACTGAAAAGATCTTTATTTTTGAGTGGGATAAACAAGTATAAAAATATTTATCAATTTAAAATCAAGGGAGAAATCAGGAAAAATCAGGCACTTAAAAGAATAAAACAGACTAGTAATATAATGAATTCTCAAGTATCCAGATTGGGTCTTTCTAGCAGATGAATTAGTTTATTGAAGACTTAAGATTCTTTTCTCTAACTCTGTAATTGCCTGATTTAAGTTATGTGTTTTGCTGGATGGCAGAAAAAAATAAATGAAAGACTAAATTTAATTGACTTGTCTACCTTACTTCTGCTTAATATGAGGTTTCAAGGAGAAGGTGAAAACTCTCATTACCTTAAAGTGTTTGGATTATCTGTGGAATGCATGTACCTATTCCTCACCTCTACAGATAAATCAGGTCATTGCAAGAGAAAATGCACATACTGAGAGAATAATTGCCTCTTTGCATTGGCACTCTAAAGCACTCTCCCACGTTTCGTATTAAAAGCTTTATTTGGTCCCTTTCTCTGAATAATGTATGCGGTGCTCATTTCTCTTTCACCGGATGGGGCTCACGTTCTGATGAAATGTCTTACAGCTGTGGTTTGATGGACATTCTTTCCTGGCGGTGGTAACTGTCCAGATACTTAAACGCAAAGCTGTGTTGTGATTTCACTGTAGAGGGCTTCTTGTTAAGTGTGAATCTTACAACAGAACTAAGAAACGACTGCAGCTTTATTTTCAATACTATTTCTTAGCTACTTACAGGCAGATTTAGAAATACCTATTCACTCACAAGGCAAGAAATGAATTTTACGGAAGAGACAAGGCAGGGGAGCAGAAGCCTTACCTTTTCCTCTCGGTCTGGTCATCACGGGCAAGAATGAAGAAGGGCTTAGTTTTTTAACTAGAAGAATGAACTCTGTATATTTACCAATTTTTATACTCATTAAATTTTTTTTCCGTTCAGAAGTGGTATTTGATACTTTAGTCTTCCTAAAATTAAAAACATTTTCTAATCCTGGACTCTCGCCTGCCGCAGAATATATGTTTGCCAAATGCCCCAAACGCCGCAGGATCACAGGGAGGGGACCAGTAACTTCAAAAGAGGACAGACCCGGACCTCCGGGAGGTTGACTGAGAGGAAACTACATATCCCGGCGTGCCCCGCTCACGCACAATGGAGACGTGTCGTCATTCAGGACCGGGCGGCGCGTTCCGGGAGCGCCGCGGGATTCCGGTCTGGATCCCGCCCCGGGCGGAGGGCCCTCCTGGGCCGGGAAAACTGCAATTCCCGGCATGCTCTGCAACGGGTGCGCCTGTCTGCGAGAGCTACGGCGCCTGGGAGCGGGTTGGTTTAAAGTGGTCTTTTAGTTCTATGGAAACCGGCCCTCCTGCTGCCGGTCAGAGCCACAGGCGGACAGATGGACAGTGGGGTGAGGCTGCTGGGCTCCGGGCGGGTGAGCCGGGAATGAAGGTGCGGGACCCCTGGGGGAGTCGGCGGCTTACCAAAGGCCACCCTCACCTGTTCCTGCCGTCCTCCCCTACCTGGCGGAGTTTAGTCTCGCTCTCTCGACCCTGATTTAAGCCATTTTTGCACTGGACGGCGGTGAAACCGTTTAGGAGCCAAGTTTTTGTGTTGGTCTGGTTCTAACCGAAGGAGGGAAGAGAGTAGCACCAAGGAAGTCCTTCAGATAAGGACCACCATCGCCTCGCCTTTTCTGTATTTATTTGTTAGATTGGAGGTCATAGGTTCCTGGGAAAGCCTTTTCGATGTTAATGAGTTTCGGTATCGGCCGTCTGTTGTCCTCCCTGGCCTGCTTATTAGAATGCGGGTGTTAGGAATTTACGTTCGTTTATTGCTATTTTCCCATTACCCGGCACTTGGGCTAGAACAGGATAGACATTTCTTAAATTTTTGTTGAATTACGCCTATTTGTAGCCACCCACAGAATCCCATGCATTGCGCTAGGGTCTGAAGATGGAAAAGGATTAAGAATGTGACCCTATTTTGGAGAAGCTCACATTAGTGTGTCTTGAACACCCACACACTCCTCATGTCCCTAATTTATCAGCCTCGGAGCACTCAGGCCTAGGTCCCTGAAGCCTGTTCTCTGGTATCGAGCCTCATGGCTTTATAAGCCACGTATATATTGACAACTTCAAAATGTATATCTACAGATCACTACTTCCTGGAAATTCAGATCTACAAGTTTAATCTTATTGAGCATCTTTCCTGTTTTAAATTTAATATGTACAAAACAACTCTTGATCTTCCCTCTAAAACTAATTCCTCCTAATAGGCTTCCATTGTCTCAATTAATGGCAACACCGTCTTTTAAATGCTTCCTTTCTCTCATATCGCCTAGCTAATCCATCAACAAAACCTATCTTTACACTATGTCTGAACTCTGACCACTTCTCACTATTTCATTGCTATCACCCAGGTCCTAGCCAGTGGCATCTCCTGCCTTTATTATTATAGCAGTTGCTCAACTGGTCTTCCTACTTTTGCTGTTGACCTACCATCCCTGGGGGTAGCCAGAGTGGTCCCATTAAAAGGTAAGCTGGATCACAGGACTTCGCAGCTCTAAATCCTCCAGTGGCTCTGAGAGTCACTGAGCGTTAAACCCAAACTTTTATAACAGCCTTTAAGGCCCTATTTACCCTTTGACCCCACCTCTCACTGTTCTCTCCACTTGTTCCTCTCCAGCCAGCCTGACAACCTTACTTGTTTTGGACCGATTGGCATTCTGACTTCAGGTCTTAGCATTTGCTGTTTGCTCTTTCTATCCACATGGCTCACTCCAGCACCTTCTTCACAGGTCTTTACTCAAATATCATCTCAGTGAGGCTTTCTCTGACCACACTGTTAAAATGGAAGCCCGCACCACAGTCTCCATCCCATCCTCTTTCTTACTTTTTCTCCACTGCACTTATCACCAAGGAACAAACTATGCATTTTACTTAATGTCTGTATTTCTTAGCTGGAAAAGAAGCTCCATGGTGGCAAGGAGTTTTGTCTAGTTCATTGCTGTACTCCCCAGTGTCTGTAAGAGTATCTGGCTTATGTAGGCATTCAGGAAATGTTAGTTAGATGTGTGAGTAAATCAGGACAAGCTAGTGACCAAGTTGTTTTCCATTGGTTGTGATACACAGCATTGGGTCTCTGGCGTATTATTTTGAAGCCAATAGCATGTAGTCGTAGCTTTTGTCAGGTATAGGAATGGAGCCTCTGTCCACAGAAGCAAGTATTCCCTTTCTAAAGTCACCTGGCTTTTCCTGGTATTAAGTGACATTGGGCTTATTCATGCTATGCTCTCAGTGAGGTAATCTACATAGGAGGTCCTTGGAAATACTCTCCCTAAACATAAAAACAGCACTGTATTAACTGGATAATGATATATTTTTTAAAGTAGTTGTGAATGAACTTTTCTAAAAATAGAATTTTATATTTTAGAATTTTGATTATTGTTACTGTCAAGCATCAGAATGTAGGTTCAAGACTGCACCATGTATTTCACTCAAAAGCTTCACCCCCTGCCCACCATCAGTCTGCCCCAGGTACCTTGAGATACCTTCCTCAGGGTAAATTTTCTATAACCCTTCTCTCCTTTACAAGCTGGGGGCCAAGTTTGTTCTTCCTTCTTGTTTGAGAGTATTTTTTCTCTCTGGAAGCCTGAGAAGCTCCAGTGTGGATCAGGTTCAGGGGGATGTGAACGATGATGACAATCTAATTCTTACCCAGATATATATTTTTTCTCTTTTAAGCAAACAAAGCAATTTGAGTTGTTTTTCAGGCCAAATGTGTACATACCCTTTAAGTAAATGTAGGCATTTTATGCATACCGTAAGTACCTTAGGGAAATAACAGCAAAATTATAACATTTCAACAATTACATGAAAATATTAAGTGGCAGTCTGCATCTCATTAAATATATGTGGGAAGCTTATATTCCATTTCCTTTCTAAAAACTTATATTTTTAGGGGCAAAAATAGACTTTTGCTGTATTTATATTAGAATTCTGTGCTTGGCTTCCGGTAAGGCAGTCCTTTGTATTGCAACTGGCTACCTAGGCCTAACAAGTCCCCTCCCGCTGGGACTCTGCTTGTCCTTTCCTTTATTTACCTCCTCCTTGTTTCTCCACCAACTACTGCCTGGGACTACTGTAAATTTGGCATGCTTTTGTTGCAAACAACAGCAACAAAAAAGGATTAAAACAAAAAATAAAAGTTTATTTTTCTCATATAAGCAGAGTTTGGAGGAAAATTTCAGATTAATTTGAGCTTCTCTGGCTGTTTCCTGTGTTTCTCAGACACTGGCGATCCATGGCTCCGTTTACATTAAGAGGGAGGCAACACATGACAGACTGAAAAAGAGCTCCCAGAGCTCTGAGCATCCTGAGGGAAAGGAAGGGCAGATGCCATAGTGCCTGTCCTTTTTATCAGAAAAACAAAAGTTTGCCCAGAAGCTCCTTGCAAGCTTCTGCCTAAGGTCTCGTGGGCCAGAATGTGTCACATGGCTGTGCTAGCTGCAAGGGAGGCTGCCGTCATGTAATTTTCATCATCATTTAGAGAGAAGACAAAGGAGCTGACTCTGTCTGCTGCAAACACCATTAAATTCTCTTTCCATACTTTTTCTCCCCACCCCAGGCCTGGTTTATTTGCACGTTAGTAGTAGCCAGACAGCAGGTGACAGAAAACAGAATGGAGGGTAAAGCCACATAGTGTTTCTCCATTGTTACTACTACATTCTCTCCCCACCACACACGGTGGGTGGCTCCCTAACCCTGGCCCTAGTTTCAGTGTAGCAGAGCTAGCCCTGGGAACTGTCTCAGAGGCTCTTCCTTCTGTTACCCGAGGAACACGATCTTGCCCCAGGTGGTAACAAAAGCAGGAGCCTCCAAATCTGGCTTTTTGTAGAAATGTAGATGAGTCATAATTCAAATCTTTGTATATCCAGAGACGCTGTCTACATACAGCCTTTGTCTTTCCCTTCAGGAACAGGTAGAAACATGAAAGGGAATTAATAGGAGAGCTTCTTCATCCCATGTCCTTAAGCTGATTGTTAACAGAAAATCTCTTAAAGAATTCAGGAAGATTTATGTGTGTCAGAAAGGTATTCTTTTTTGTAGAGGAGCACAAAAGAGAGAAATTCTGGTCAGAAGCCCTAAAATACGAGTTAAAAGAAATCGGTACCCTTTGGTCTACTTTATCCTATTTTCCCTCCCCCCAGCCACTGTCATCACAATTCTATTCTCAGTTTCTGTTAAATCAGATGTGTCTGTTTAGATTGCACATATAAGGGTTACCATATAAAATATTTTTCTCCCTCTGGCTTATTTCACTTAGCATAATAACCTCCAGATTCATCCATGTTGTTGCAAATAGCAGGATTTCTTTCTTGTGGCCAAGAAATATTCCATTGTATGTATGTACGTCTTCTTTATCCATTCATTCATCCTTTGAAGGACATTTAGTTTGTTCCCATGTCTCAACTCGTGTAAATAATGCCACAGTGGTCGTGGGTATGCAGATGTCTGTTCAAGACACTGATTTCAGTTCCTTTGGACATATACCCAGAAGTGGAATGGCTGGATCATGGGGTAGTTCAATTTTTAACTTTCTGGGGAACCTCCATACCGTTTTCCATGGTGATTGCGCCAGTTTACTTGTCCACCGACAGTGTGAGGGGCTCCCTTTTGTCCACGTCCTTACCAACATTTGCGATCTCTTTTTGATGATAGTTATCCTAATGGGTATGAGATGACATCTCATTGTGTGTGTGTTTTTAATAATTGTGGGTCTGATTTCATTTCCTTGATTTGTAATGTCGAGCACCTTTTCATATGCTTTTGCTCAGTTGTATGTCTCTGGAAAAGTGTGTTCATATTTGTTGCTCATTTTTAAGTCAGATTTTTTGTTTTTGTGTGTGTCCATTCTTTGTATATTTTAGATATTAACTTCTTATCAGATACACGGTTTGTGAATATTTTCTCCCATTTTGTAGGTTGCCTTTTCAAATGAGTTCTGAGGATCTAAGGTACAGCATGATGACTATAGTTAATAACATGGTATTGTATACTCAAATGTTGCTGAGAGTAGATATTAAGTGTTCTTACTACACACACTCGAGTTAACCATGTTAAGTTTGTGAGGTGATGGATGTGTTGATTATTTTGATGTTGGTAGCCATTCTATAATGTATACATATCAAATCATCATGTTGCACACTTTTAATATATATGATTCTGTTTGTCAATTATTCCTCAGTGAAGGATTAAAAAAGTAAAAAGAGAGAAAAATGTGGGCCATTCTCTGAGACCTGTGGCGGGAAGATAGAAGGTGCTTGGAGGCCTATGTCAGAGTAGAGCAATGCCCTCAATGGTTGTAGCAGGATTATGTTGGCAAGAAGCTCAGCCTTTTTACGAGTACAGCTCCCCATCATGCTTCTTGCCCTCTTAAATCCTGCCATCCATTTTCAGACTTCTTTAATTCCTGCTGTGGGTCCTGGGAACCCCCTTCAGTGACTTGGGCCAGAGGTCATCCCCACTTCCACTGCCTGGGAGGTGAGGGGAAGGGAGACGTGTGGTTGCTCAGCAAGTAGGGGAGAACGGTGTGCTACCGATGTCTCAAGTGGGACCTTCGTGCAAACATCCCCGTAGGAACACTGGTGCTAGTGACGGCTAAGGTTTACAGCCTGGTGAGTGTAGAAGTGTCTGTGCGGGATGGAGCTGCAGGAAGGTGTCCTTAAGTCTCCCCCAACAACCTCGTCATTGAAGGTTGGGTGCAGGATCCATTCACGTGGCGGGACTGCTTATACACTGCTCCTGTTTCTGTCACCAACACCTGAAAGAGTGGTCTCACTACTCCCATTTACTTTCATATGGTTTGGGGGAAAGTCAGAAAATTTGACTTTCCTCCCAAACCATAGGTGTCAACAGGTTTAGCAGTCTTTGCTGTGAAGATAAGTTTACAAATTATTTTTTTAAAACCACTGCTTCAGTGCAGTTGATAAATCTATTTCATGTCAGCTGCTCAGATGTCCGAGTATTGAATTTTTTTCCAGAAAGTCTGTATTGGGAGTATGTTAAAATGAAAATGTCTGGTAATGAAAGAGGTAATAACTCACTTAACCAAATCATAAGTCCTAATGTATGTCTAAAAGTAGCAGATAAGATAGACTAGACTGTAATGCAATAACAAACTACTGAACCATCTCAGTGACTTATAACAATATAAGTTTATTGCTCAGTCACAGTGGATGTCATGGATGAGTCATGGTTCTATCTCATGTCATCTTTACTCCGGGATCTTGGCAGATGCACCAGCCCTATGTGGGATGTTGCTCATCTCATGCAGAGTGAGGAAAAGAGGTGGTGAGTGACAAGGTGGCTCTTAAAGCTCCTACGCACATGTAATAGGCAAAAGCAGAACACATGACCACCCCTGAGCTCAACAGGACAGGGATATAAAGTGCTACCACAGGAAGGGGCAGTGGCTATTTTGAAAAATAATAGGATCTACTACACTAATATTTTGACTTTAATCTCAGGTGCATTTGGAAACTTCAGAATCCAGACCAGTCCTCTCTCCAACCCACATCAATGCTACAGCTTCTGAAACATTCACAGCACTTAAGCAAAGGATGAGGATAGTTGAGGAACAGACCAGTTCTTTGAGGGATGACCTAATAATGTTGGACTTTGGTGAAAAAAGGTAACAAGTGAAAAATAAACTGGATCTCTGTAGGTTGAAGAAATTTGCTTCACAGATTATTAAAAAGAAGTCACACTGTGGATGGTTTGGCAGGTGAACTAGGTATTTACAAAAGAATTGAAAAATAACAGTTTCCATTTGAACATTACCATATTTTTCAGACTATAAGATGCACTTTTTTACCACATTTTTTGCTTCAAAACTTTTTTTCCTATTTTCCTCCTCTAAAACCTAGATGGATCTTATGGTGCAGACCCCCCAGATGCACCTAGGTTTTAGAGGAAAATAGGGGGGGAAATCTTGAAGCAAAAAATGTGGGGAAAAAAGGTGCATCTTATAGTCTGAAAAATACAGTAATTAGAAAATATTTGCAAGATAAAGGGTTGTCATCCTGAGACAGAGCTACTACCACTATCCCCTTAAACAGGTATTTGAAGTGTGTTAATCAGGTACACATTCTTTGATATTCTATTTACCTTCATCTCCTGATTAAGAACAAATTAATTTTTTGTGTAATTAGAAAAAATTTTGGTTATTTTTAAAATAAAAAATAGACTTATTAAGGTGAACACCTAAACTTGATTCATGCCATTAAATGTGGTCTTCATTTTCTTTTCCCAGATTTCTTGTAAATTAAGAGATTTTAAGTCTTAAAAATTCATAATTTAGAAGGAAGAACTCAAAAAAGAATTGCTTTTTTCCTTGTGTTGCTGTTATTAAAAATTGGATTATCAGTTTTTATCAATGGCCTAAGAAATCTGGGTGCATAAGCAGCCAATAATCAAGTTTACTGGTGTGATTTTCTTTAAAATTAGATACAGGCATACCTCATTTAATTGCACTTCATTGTACTTCGATATTTATTGAATAAATATTGCATTTTTTACAAATTGAAGGCAAACCCTTCGCCAGCAAAAAGATTACAGCTCATTTTATTGCACTACTCACTTTATCGTTGTGGTCTGGAACCAAACCTGCAATATATCTGAAGTATGTCTCTGTATTTCCTGAGTGTCTCTCACAAAGACCTAAAATTAGTATAGTTGGTATTATAGCACCTATAGAATAAAGAAGTCTTCAGCAGTTAAAGAGTAAATTTGTACAAATGTTGAGTATATTGGAACAAAATAGGAATGCTTATTATGACCTTGTTTAAATATATTTTTTAAACTATGAATATATTGTCTCCATGCTAACTTTAATTCTTAGTTCAGCATTATAAAATTCAAATTTAATGTGTTTTATGTATCACTTGTTTTTACATAATGTTTGTGAAAAAATTCAAATTAAAATAAACAAGCATTAAAAAGTCAGTGACCTTTGCCCATCCAACATTGGTCCCATCCTTTTTACCTAATAGTGCTGCTATATTTAATTTTGGAGGGACTAACAGTTGCTTGTTAACTAAGATGTGTAGTTTTACTCTTAGAAATGTTACGTTGACTCAACAGTTGAGGTTCCCATAGTACCCATTGCATTGCGTAATATTGTTATATTGGGATCTTTGCCCAGAGACCATTTTGAAACTCCAGAATGTTTATCAGCACCTGTGAAACAGAACATCATCAGTCCTGTCCAGGATGAAGTAATTTGTTCAGAAAAAAAAGATCTTTTATGGAAGAACTGTGAGTTTCTGATAAATCGCATGTGCCATCTGGAGAGCCTCATCCAGTCCTTGAAGTTAAATATCTTTAGTCTGCAAACTGAAAAGGATTTGAATCCACAGAAAACAGGTATAGAGAGAAGAGAATCAGCAGAAATTTGGTCCTATATGGGTGCTTGATGAGTTTATGATTCTTTTCTTTCTTGACCTTTCAACTGCTCTGTGACCCTCCTGTGCTGTCTGGAAGCTTTTCTGAAGGACCGACTGAATACAATACAGGAGGAGCATTCCAAGGACCTGAAGCTGTTGCATCGTGAAGTGATGAATTTGCGCCAGCAACTCAGAGACATAAAAGAGGAAGAAGGCAAGGCACAGGATGAAGTGCAAAGGTTGACCACCACTCTGGAGATCGCCTCAGAGACAAAGGTTTGAGTCCAGAGTTGTGAAATGCAAACTCACTGTTACATGTTAGCTGGAGGAGGAGGAGTCAGTGGACCCATAAAACTATTAAAAATAGGTGATGTCGATGAGAGCATTCTTAACATCTGATATTTATCCATGTGGATCGCATAAATGATGTGTGCCATCACTAATTGAGTATTTATAGAGTCCTTCCCCTGTACACGTGGCTGAGGGTCCAGAGACAGGAGGTAGTCTGAGCTGTTTAAGAGATTATATGGCACCTGGGAGAACCTGGCATAGCTCGAAAAACAAAATGGAGAAAAATAAAGGCATAGAAGATGCTAACAGACAAGTATGGGACAGTAAGTGAATAGTAAAAAGTGTTTTGTGTTTGGGTGGGTTTGAGAGGGTGTGTACATCCTATCTACAATAGATTAGAGTAGGCTGTAAGAAAGATAGGAACTGGACCTTTAGAAGACAGAGTAGTGAGGTAAGGAAATGTGAGGTTCCACACACAGACCACAAAGAAGAGACTAGGAAAATAAGCTAACAATTTTGTTTTCCTGCCATGAGCCAGGCAGTAATATAGACATTCAGCATGCTATTTTGTTTAATCTTTGTAATACCTCCTGTTGAAGGAGACCATTGTCCCATGTTGATAATGCATGCCGGGGTCCAGAGAAAATTCCCTTCTCCATGGCCATACTTCTCTGTCTTCTTCCTGTAACTCGAGTTTGAACCTAGATCTTTCCACTGGGAGCAGTTAGGGGGCAATGCATTTGTTCATTGGAAATAAGTTGGAAATTAGCTGAGGATCACATTACAGAGGATCTCAAAATCGAGAATGAGTAGTTGGGGGTGATTCTATGGGAGGTGATTACAGTTTTTGATAAGGCAGTGGCATAATGAAACAGGAAAACTAATGCAGCAGGAGTGTATAGGAAAGTCAATACAAGAAGAAATTGGAGGCAGGGAAAAGAATGAGGAATCCATTGTGTTATTTGAGGCTTGAGCCTTATTAGGTCTGACTTAGGGTTGTGGCATTTAAAAAAAAGAGGGATGTTCTGTGAAGATCGATATGCTACATTATGGTACTGGATAGGGGCTGAAGGTAGGAAAGAAGACAAACACGACTTCTGAGGTTTTTACATATGTGCTGCCTTTAATAATATAAAAGAATAATAGTGAAAGTTGTGTTTTTCATCCTTAACTCCTAAGCACAAATCATCTTTGAGCCTAGAGGAAATACAGTACTTAAAAAAAATAGAAATGTATATCCTGTAAGAAAAATCTCTATCAATTATCAGGCTCTTCTCTGATTATTGAATTTTATATAGGAAGTGAATGTGACTAATTCCTTTTTATTGTCTAAAAGGAAAAATGATAGAAGTCATCAAAGTTCAACAGAACCCAGAGGGGTTCTGTTGCCCACTGCCAGAAAAAAACCCATGACTCCCGATGCCAGCGTCTTATGAAAAGGATATTTATTCAAAAGTTATACAGGTTCAGAATAATGGTGGAATTTGTTTTTAAGTCCCAAAGTCTCTGAAAACTGAACACCTGTATACACACACAGTCCTGCCTCCCCTTGCCAGACCAGGCCAGTCCGGCGTACTATGTCTCAAAAGGAAATAGAAGTCCACAGCTCAGCTGAGCAGATTCCCACCGGCTTCTCCCAGTGTCCATGCTCATCTAGGCACCTGCTGTTAATCCAGAACCGCACAGCTCCTCCTCATGGTGGGCCAGTGAGGGTCTGCATCCTTTCAAACCACATGGCCATGACAGAACTTGAGTTTAAATCCCAGTGCACATCTTCCTCTGTGACCCCATTTCTGACTCCTCCCACATAGGGTTACACTGCCAATACTCTGGTTTCTTCTGCCTTTCTCAGCTGCCATTGTTACTGTGGGCAGGCCTGGCCCTGTGACCAGGAGGAAGTGCCTCCTAGCTGCGTTGCAGGTTTGAATCCTACCTATCTCCCAGGCTCCAAGCCAGCTATTAGCATTACTAAAACACTGGCCAAGCCCTTTAGATATGCAAGGTAACTCTCAATGGCCCTGCTCCGCTTCCACTCCCACTGTACACCCCCCCCCCCCCGCCCCCGCCGCCATATTAGTTCTCGACCTCATTCCACACCTGTTACAAAAGTAATGAAGCATCTTCTTTTGAAGTGTCTCATTATAGCCCTGGACAGGTGGCTCAGTTGATTGGATCATCGTCCTGTACACCAAAAGGTTGTGGGTTTGATTCCCAGTCAGAGTACTTACCTAGGTTACAGATTCAATCCCCAGTTATGGCAGGAATGGAAGGTAAACGATGGATATTTCTCTAAAAATCATTAAATATATCCTCAGGTGAGGATTTAAAAATAAATAAGTAAATATCTTATTGAAATACATAATGGCCTCAGACTCACAATAACTATAACTATATTCAGAATAGTATTTATAGGTTGCCAGAAAAAAGTCTAGAAAGACAGTTACTCCCTATCATTTCAGATTATTTAGAACCTTTTCTTGAACTTTTAGAAGAATGCAGCCCTTATTGAAGAAGAACTGAAGACCACAAAACTTAAAATGAACCTTAAAATTCAGGAGGTAAGATAAAAAGATGCTGGAGGATGCAGAGGGCATTGGAACTGTTACAGAATAGACCAGTGGCTGGGGGTGGGGCGGGGGGCAGCAAAAAACTGTTAACAGAACCCTTTGGGAAGCCCAGATACTGGTACTGAAACAAGCCCCCTCTCTTGGGGTCTTTCTTTATTATGGTTCGTCTTGCCCACTGCCAGGTGTTAGGAATTGTGGCTCTCAAAGCCAGAGTTTGGTGAAAAGGAAAGGAACTACTTATTCAAAAGTTACACAGGGTTAGGGTAATGGCAGAATGTCGCCCTTAAAATCCCCAAGTCCCTTTAAAACAACCACACACACAGTCCTGCCTTTCCCCTTTTGCCCAGTCTGACCAGTCAGGGGTACTGCATCTTAGGAAAAGAAATAGAAGTCCGTAGCTCAGCGAACCTCCTGATTCCTCCCAGTAATCCTGCCCAACTGGGCAGGTCTCCTGCAGTCCCCAGCACTATCAGCTGTGTCGTTATGATCTCCAGTTCTTAACTCAGAACCACGGCACCTCCTCATGGCCCACTAGTGAGAATTCTTTCACCCCTTTCCTTCTCGCAAGGTCTCACAGGGTCTCTCTTCCCTCCTAGCCACCCACCTTTAGTTTAAATCCCAGCATCCTGGGACCTCCTCCATAACCCCTTTTCCGACTCCTCCCACAATCGGCTTCGCTAGCTACCACTCCCGTATTTTCTGCCTTTCTTGGCTGCCATAGTTAGTCGGGGCAGGTATGGCCCCGTGGCACAGAGCGAACCATCTGCAAGCTCTTGTGCAGGCTCAAAAAGGGGAGCTGCCTCCCAGTGACATCATGTGTTAAAGTCATGTACACCTTTCTGACTCCACTCAGGCTGGAAGGCTAGTCTGCTGTTCTTGATATGCAGAGTAACTCAGTGCCCCGCCCCCCCACCAAGACTCCCATCCCCCAGCCAGATGTGGGGGGAGGCTGGCTGCGCCCCATTACAGAATTCCAAAGAGGATGTAAAGAGAATGAACAGAAACCTTTGAAGAAGAAAATACATGACTGTAGTAGGAAGATTTTTTAAATATGCCACATGGAATTTAAGTAAAAGTGCCTGCCCTTAATTGGCATAAGACTTCGTTTTGCCTCAATATGGCCGTAAAACCAGACATTTAAAACTAATATATGCTGCCTGAGCCTGGAGGGAAATAGTTACCACAAAATTCTTGTGGCTGTCTATATACTAGAGTTAAGTGAGCACCTTCATACAAAGACCTTTTAAACTAAAGTTGTGTTTAAGATAAAAAGCTTTTAATAAGCCTGCTTATCCCATTTTACTGTGAAACCTTCATTTCAGCCAAAGTTTTGGTAGAAAACATTGGAAATTGTGAAGTAAGCGGCTGCCAAAAGTTGTGAGACTAAAAATTTGCAGCTGAAAATAGAGTCAGAAGAATTACTAGCTCAGTATACTCACAGTGGCCTAAAAACCTCAATATTCCCTGACAGAATAATAATTGATGTTAGTCCAAATCAAAAAGGTCCAATTATATTTAAAATATTCTATTATACAACACAGAGAAGTAGATATACTCTTTAGGAAAATTCTCATGCCAAATTATTTTTCAAATTACGAATTTTAGTGATTAAGGTGCTAATTGTGGCTACCTGGAAAACTTTTTTACATACTGTGCCTGTAATTACTGATAAAAGCATGCTTGTTCATAGTTGTATTAACCTTAGCACATTTGAAACTTTTGTAAATATTTCAATAGACTTCTTTTAAGAGATATTTTAAATTTATAGAAAAATTGAACAGAAAACAGCTCCAGTAAGTCCTTTCTCCCCATCCCTATGTTATTAACATTGCATTATGTGGCACATTTGTTACATCTGATGAACCAGTATTGATACATCATAATTAACAAAAGTCTGTAGTTTACATTAAGATTCAGTCTTTGCTCACTGCAGATTCATACAGAATAGTTTCACTGCCTCAAACATGCTCCATATATTCATTCCTCGGCCGGTCTCTCGAGCCCCCGGCAACCACTGGTCTTTTCACTGTCTCTGCAGTTTTGTGATAGTTGGAATCACACAGCGTGTAACCCTTTTTGACTGGCTTCTTTCGCTTAGAATGTGCATTTAAAGTTCCTCCATGTCTTTTCATGGTCTGAGAATTCATTTTATTGCTAAACAATATTCTCTTGCATGGATATACTATAGTTTGTTTATCCTCACTTATTGAATTATCCTGAACATCTTGGTTGCCTCTGAGTTTGGCAATTATGAGGACACGTTTTCAACTCATTTGGATAGATACCTAGGAGCACAGTCGCTGTTTAGCTTTGTAAGAAGCTGCCAACCTGCTTTACAAAACGGCTGTATACTTTGCATTCAGACCTGCAGTAAATGAGTTCCTGTTGCTCCACGTCCTCATGGCGCTTTGTGTTGTCAGTGTTTGAATTGTTGCCATTCTGATAGGTGTGTGGTGGTATCTTATTTTAACTTTTAACTCCCTAGTGACATGACATTGAACATCTTTTTATAAGCTTATTTGTCATTTGTGCATCTGATTTGGTGAGGTGTCTGTTAGGTCTTTCACTTTGTAACTGGATTGTTTTCTTACGTTGAGTTTTAAGAGTTCTTTGTATACTTTGGATTATAGTTCTTTATTAAATAGATGTTTTGTGGGTTTCTTTAACAGTCTTCAGCTGATCTTTGCATTCTTTTAACAGTGTCTTTTGCAGAACAGAAGCTTTCGATTTTAATGAAGTCCAGCTTAGCTATTTTGTCTTTCCAGGATTGTACTTTTGGTGTTGTATTGGGTTGACCAAAAAAGTCCGCTTAGTTTTTTCTATAAAATAAAGGACACATTTTTCATTGTCAGCAGCAACTTTATTGATTTGGATATTTTGAGTATATCGGCTATCTCCTGCATGGTATAACGTTGATTGTTCTTAATGTCTCAATTTGATCACTGTCAACTTCAGCTGGTCTACCAACTGTGGAGCATCATCCAGCAAGAAATCTCCAGCAACAAACTTTGCAAATCACATTTGACACATTCCATCAGTCACAGCACCTTCTCCATACACTGCACAAATTTTTTTTTGTATTTCAGTTGTGTTTTTGCCTTTCTTAAAATAATAAGCATATTTACTGAAAATGTTGCATATTTTCTTCCATCTTCAATACTAAAATAGCTTTATAAAAATTCATAAAAACTTCATTTGAAAGGTTTTTTTTTAAAATTTTTAGAGGGAAGGGAGGGAGAAGGAGAGAGAGAAACATCCATGTGTGGTTGCTGGGGGTCATGGCCTGCAACCCAGGCATGTACCCTGACTGGGAATTGAACCTGCGACACCTTGGTTCGCAGCCCACACTCAATCCACTGAGCTATGCCAGCCAGGGGAAAGTTTTTTCTAAATGCACACTGAAATGACAGTTGCCACAATATAGTCTAACAAATTATTTCAAATGAAGTTAAAGATAACTAAGTGCTACTAGAGCCATCTTACAGAAAACAAACTCTTTGACCATCCCAGTATCTAAAAAGTCACCGAAGGTCACCGAAATTTTTCTCCTGTTTTATTTTTTAGATGTTTTTATAGCTTTGCATTTTATGTTTAGGTTTTTGATACATTTTGAATTAATTTTTGTGAAAGATGTGAAATCTATATGTTATATTAGTTTTGGTTATATTAGAGTCTTTGTGTTTGTTCCCACACATTTGTTTAAAAGACTGATGATGCCCTGACCGGTGTGGCTCAGGTGGTCAGGCATCGTCCCAGAAACCAAAAGGTCGTGGGTTTGATTCCTGGTCAGGGCGCACACGTGGGTTGTGGGTTTGGTCCCCAGTGAGGGTGCATGCAGGAGGCAACCGATCAATGTTTCTCTCCCTCTCTTTCTCCCTCTCTTCCCCCTCTCTAGAATCAGGAAAAGAAAAAATTTTGTTTTAAATAAAAGATTCTTGGTGATTGCCATTTTTATTTTTTATTGGGAAAGTCTTAATTCTGAGTGCTATGACAAAATCCTGACTGTTCATTGAACTCTGTCAAGGACTGTCCTAGTCAAAAGCCAACTTGAGAGTGTTAGAACAGGAAGAATGTATTAGTTTCCTAGGGCTGCCATAACAAAGTACCACAGACTGGATGGCTTAAACAACAAACTTATTTCTCATATTTCTGGAGGTTTGAAGTCCAAGATCAAGGTGTCAGTAGCTGTGGTTTCTCCTGGGGCCTTGACTTGCAAATGGCTGCCTTCTACCTGTGTCTTCATATGGTCTTTTCTTTGTGAATGCACATCCCTGGTGTCTCTGTGTCCCAATTTCCTTCTCTTATAAGTACGGCAGTCAGATAGGATTAGGGTCCAGCCTCATTGTAACGTAATCACCTCATTATTTGTTAAAAAGTTCTTATTTATTTTTAGGTAAAGGGGAAGGGAGAGAGAAAGAGAGAGAGAAACATCAATGTGTGATTGCCCCTAACTAGGTATGGCCTGCAACCCAGGCATGTGCCCTGACCTGGAATCGAACCAGCATCTCTTTGGTTTGCAGGCCAGTGCTCAATCCACTGAGCCACACCAGCCAGGGCACTTAATTATCTCTTTAAAGGCCCTATCTTACAGTCACATTTTGGAATACTGGTGGTTAGGGCTTTAAAATATTAATTTTGGGGAATGCAATTTAGCCAATAGAGGGTTACACAAAGACAGATAAAATGTGGTTCTGATGAACATAAAACAGATTGACTGATTGTCTTTAATAATGACTTAGAAATAGATACCTTAATAGAATAATTATCAAATAATGATTTTCTTTGTAAAGCACTTAAATTATATCTTAAGTAAATTATACTACATAATTTGATCCAGAACATAAAAAACTATATTGAGCTACTCTATACTGTAAATTATAGTTTTAGTATCAGATTATTATAAAATAGAGCCAAAACTATGGCTATTCTTAAACTAAGATTGCAATATTTAAGTGATCATTGGGTGAGGGTAGAATTTCTAAACTTAGAAAGAAGGAAGAGAATTAAAAAACATCAATAGATTTCTCCAAATAAGGATTAATAAACATTTCTATGTGTAAAAAAGGACATGAAACAAAAACTAATATAACAAAACTAGACAAAGAGTTAAATATCTTCCATTTTAAAGAACTTTAAATTGACTTAAAAAAAACCCAAACCAAAAAAAAAAATGATGGGCAAACAATAAAATTTCAGAAAATATGTAAAGAGCTAATGCCATATTAGAAACTAATAATCTCACTAGATACCAAAGAAATGAAAAAGTGTTAAATGTGATTTTTTTATCTATTAGCTTATCAGATTTAAGAAAATGATAATACATAGTGCCAATGGGTTTTATTCAAATACTACTAATAGGCTAAAATTGGAAGGCAAATTATATCAAAAGTTTAAAAATTATTTATACCTTTAACCTAGTGATTTTTCTTGTAGGAATTTATCCTAAGGAAATAGTCATAACTGCAATAAAATATTTATTCAAAAGCATGTTCTTCAGGACAGTATTTAAAATAGAAACTGGAAAAACATAAATGTTCAATATTAGGAGTTATGATTAATACAGATGTTTCCAAAAAGGGCTATCTTATAACAGTGCTGTGCCAATACATTTATCATGTCTTTCAACTTTTTAAAAACTTTTAAAACATTATAAAATATATCATTCACATAGAAAACACATAGAAAGTTAAAATGTCCTGTGTCATCTTCATTGAGCCTTAAAAATAGAATTTCTTTTAACTTAACATGACTTCATAAAAGGAATAACATTCTGCAATTTCCATTTTCAGCTAGAATAGGATCTCCTTACCTCATGATAGAAGAGGCTCCTCCTTTTATCTCTGATTGATTTTATTGTCATTTATTGAGAGAAATAAGGTGTAGTGTACCCCAATTCTTGAGTGTAAGTTTTGTCTACTAGTTAAGTTACTTCAGTATTTATGTAGACCTTTAAATTTCAAAACAGAATTGAAACAGCTTTCAGAGTATGTTTATAATATTATGAGATAAAAATACATAGATGAGGAAATAAAAATATAGGAAAATAAGATTTAAAAAATAAAGCCAGGAAGAAATACAGAAAATACATATACTAAGGTATATTAGTGCTTTTCAAACTTCTTTTTGACAACAATTCATTGTAAGGCGTATTTCACACTGCAACACTGTACACATGTACATATACACAGACATAATGAAGCAGCACTCACCTCTTCTTGTTACTTGCTGTGTGTGCTGATGTTTGTTTGCTTGTTTGCTCTTTGTTCTTCCTTTTTCAAGTGCTGCTACGAATGAGTCTTGACCTGCAGTTTGGGAAACAGACGTGCACTGTGGGACAAGGGAAACAAATTTGACTCTGTATTTCTTTGAGGGTTATCCATTAGGGAAAAACAAAAGCATCTTTCTGAGTAGTGGTAAACTAATGAAGAGTGTTTGTGGGTGAGATGGCATGGCCGGTAAACTTTCCGTGGTAACTTCGATTTTTGTTAAACTGCTGTGTTGCTCTGTAGCTAAGGACGCAGCTGTCTCAGGAAAAGTACCTGAGGGATTCTCTTGAAAAATCTGGATCAGCTATGCTACTCAAAATACAAGAAATGGGGTCAACAGTAGAGGAGGAACGGAAACAGGTAGGGATGTTTTTCTCCTCTAATTTACATTAGGGAAGGGAAACAAAGAGAAAAGCTGTTAAATTTATGTATAAACCTATAGTTTTGATAATTTCCTCTAAATTTTTTAAGTTATTTATTTTTCTTTTACTAATCTTCTGTTAACATTCTTACTACAATTTTAAATATTTTAGTGCAAAATAAGAAAGAATATGATGTCATTCAGTCTGACAATTTCTGAATGAGAGAGCAAGAGCCAGAGAGGTTGGTTAACTTGCCTTGGGCTTTTGAGAGGTGAATGCATAGCTCCTGGGACAGCATCCTTCCCCCTGTATCATACAGTCTCTATTACAGGGGTTGATCTTAGAAGGCATCACCCTGGTCTCATGTCGTATGTATGTGATGTGGATAGAAACTAAAGATTAAACTAAGCTAATGTGTAGAGAAAAGAACACTAATAAGTAAAACAATCAGGGATGTGTTACATGGCTGTTTTCAATTCTCATTATTAATTTTAATATTTTTTCTTTATCATAGTTGCTATTTGAAGAATCTACTGTAATTTAGAATACCTTCCATTCTAAGTACCAAAGCAATTAGTAATTCCAAATTTAATACCTATAATTGGATTACATACCACTTTTTGTCATGTCTAATGCACTCCCGTGAACAATGCACACCCATGTTTTTTTCGCTCATTATACACGGGATTATTATACCCATTATTACACCCATGGGAATATAATCATGATACATGGGTATAATGACACTATATATATATATATATAATACCCATATATTATATATTATATACCCATTATATATAATGTATATTATATATAATATCATATACCCTTATATAAATAATATAACCCTTATTTTTCCCTCAAAAATTGGGGCAAAAACAGTGTGCATTATACATGGCAAAACAGTCAGTCTTTATTTTAACTTAATTATTATGTAATGTATTATTTTAACAATTATTTTAATGGTTGCCCTTCATGATAGAATTATAAAAAGGATTTTAAGGAATTTGTGTAATAATAATAATTATTATTATTATTATTTCTACTTTATTTTTTATTGTTCATTCTATTACAGTTGTCCCAATTTTTTTCACCTTTTGCCACCCTCCACCCAGCCCAAGCCTCGGTCCCAGTCATTCCCTCTGTTGTCTGTGTGTGATTCTTTACAACTTGTACTGCCATCATAGTAGCCACTAGTCACATAGTGCTATTTAAATTAGTTAAAGTGTAATAAAATTAAAAATTCAGTTTCTCACTCACTCTGGCCACATTTCAAGACTCAGCAGTCACTTGTGACTGGAGACTGCCGCCTTGAGAGCGAAGGGAAGGTTCTGTCGGAAGGCACTGCCCTAAGGTGCTGCCCCTTGTTGAGACCTTTCACTGCACTGCGTCAGTAAACGCCCTTCTTCCTCCGGAGATGTTAACATTGGAAAGTCTGCCTCACACGTGTGCTGTAATGTCGTTTATTAGAAATCTTTACCTTACAGAAAAGGAATCTTTCTTATACAATTTCAGGTGCAAATTTTGCAGCAAAACTGCACTGCCCTGCGCAGTTCTATACAGAACACCCAAGAACTACTGGTACAGGAGCAACAAAAAAAAGGAGAGTTGGAGACTGCTATCTCAAAGCTCCAGTCTGATCTAAGTATGAAAATATATGCTAGAAATTACGCTTTTATTAGTCGTTTGAGATTTTGCGCAAACGCTCTTAAGATCCCAGATTCTTGAAGTGACCAGTGTTATCAATATTTCCCATGGGTCTGAATGTAAAAAATTGCTGATTTTCTTTCTCTCTGTGGCCCTGAGAGGAGAGAATGTTGGTGACCCTTTTAATTATGAACTATATCTAGATTTTTTCAGGTTTATTTAAGTGTTTGTGGACTTAGGAGCATTTGGTTTCTAGAAATCTAGAAATCCTTGCTAACCTACTGATTCTAACCATTTATCATGTCAGACTCACCCCCCTTCAAGTTACCAGTTGATTCTGGTTAACTTGTAATTATAGAAATGGATGTAAAGTACCTTAGAGCTTAGATCAATCTTCTCATTTTACAGATGAGTAAACAGAGTCCTTAGAGGTGATGGAGGTAGGAAATGGAGAGTCTAGACTTGATTCCGGGTGGCTCAGAGTCATGCATCTTTCAACCCCTCAGCCCGCATAGTCTGAGTGTTTTAATGTGTAGTTGTAGGGCAGTTCTCAGGCAGTCTCAGCTGCAGAGATCACAGAGAGTTACGGGAGTGCAGTGCTTCACGTATGAATGCACTTCGTGGTTCACACAGAGCTTTCACCATAATGATCTCACGAAACATGTGAAATTATTCGTACTTCCCAAAGTTACAGATGGAATAAATGGTGAAATAAGACCTGAATGTAGATCTTTTAATTCCAAGCCCAGTGTTCATGCCTGTGTGTCTTCTGTGCTCTCGGGCTGTAATAGGGGCAGGGAATAGCAAAAGGGAAAGGAAAAGTATAAAAAACATACAGCAAAGAGCAATCCATTCAGTGTTCTGACTTACTGCTTTTAGCAGAAAGTACTCTTTTTCCTTATAGTTGTTGAGTAATGAATTATTCAGTGAAATTCTCACTGATGATACTCCAGGATAACTTTCTGTCTTCCTATGATTGCATGGCTACAAAATATGTTACATTTTATGGTGCTGCCACATCATCTCTTACAACAACCTGAGAAAGAAAAAATATATCCTCTTCTTGAGAAGAATAAAAAAATCTCTCTCCAAGGACCCACAGTAAAGAGGATAGCTGAGACTAAAGCACAGGTCCTTCTATCATACTAGTTCTCCTGATAAAGTGATTTTTTTAACTGTTACTTTCTCACTGGATTATTGCTTTATTTTTTAATTATGTAAAGAATATATGAGAGACCATTAAAAAATGAAGATTAAAACAACTAATCCAAATAGGAAAAGGAACCCTGTTTGAATACCAACTATATGCTTGATATTGCATAATAGAATCTTTACATGCCTGTGATTTTATTACTTTAAGATGAAAATAGTAATGTTAACTAGATTAATAAAAGAAATGCCTTTAGATACTTGCTTAAGTTAATTCAAAAATGTATTTATAGTGTTTATTAGCAATAAATATGCATATCTCATACACTAATTACAGTGATTAATTTGTTCTATCAAGTAAGATAAATAGTTTCTATTCATTCTTACTTTGATTAGTGGAATTTTCATAGATTTCATAGTTTATCTTTTTGATCCTTCACATACTTTAAATTAGAATTTACTCTACTTGAAATAAGTGTTGGACTTAGACATTCAAAAAGTATAAGTTTGCTGAGTATATCCTATGTAAGAGGTGAGTTTTTATGCACTTTTTAATTTTCTGTCTTTAGAATATTTAAGTGGAACAATACTAATAGGTTCTTACGCATTTTCTGAAGCCAAACGTTACTCAGAAAATTTTACACCTTTTGGTTACTAATGTACAACACCAAATTGTTCTGTTTCTCTCTTTGGTCTTATTTTCACTATACATGCTTTGTAGTTTCAAGTGTTTTCTTCTCCACACGAAATCATCCTCCTGAGCTCCGGATGTAATGTTACTGCCCACTAAACATCTGTATGTGGATGCCTTGCAGATACCTCAGAACACAGGATGAAAACTTCAAGTACTATAGTCCTTACTCATTCCATCCTCAAAACCTGCTTCTTGCCCTGTATTCCTGGTTAGTTGCAGCATCCACCATCCACCTTGCTGCCCAGGTCTGAGCACTGCGTGTTGTCCTTGATTCATCTATTGCCATGGTCCCACCGGGCATCCACCAAGTGGATGGCAGTTGTTCCTGCTTGTCACTTCCCAAGTCTTTTTGTCCTCTGCCACCCCATTGTCACTGCCACAGAGCCGGCTGTCATTGTTTCATACTTCATTACTGCCACAGCGACCAAACTGATCTCTCTGTCTTTACTGAGCCTCTGTTAGAGGGATCTCTCTAAAAAAAGACTTGATTGTGTGCCCCTCTGGTTTATAATCTCTCAGAGATCCATTATCATCTACGCATGGATAAAATGTGACCTTATTTACTGTAGCACATGACTCTGGACTAATTTCTTGATAATTCCTTAATGTAGTTTCTATAAAAATGTGATAGGAATACTTGCCTTCCCTTTATATCCTCAAAATACTGACCAAAAAAAAAAGAAAATCAGAGCTTCTCAGGGAAAATATACCATGTGATTTCAATGTAGTTGTAAATTGTTATTATCATAGTTATGTGGACTTTTTGTTTTTAGTTTCTAGAGATGACCTCATTTCCAAGTTGGTGGAAGAAAATAAGGTGAGTTTTGAGGTGGGAGAGTACAGAGGTGGTCTTTCCTCTCTTCATTAAGTAATACTTCCTCACTCAGTTTGTAGTCCTTCTGATTCTCCTAAAATCTTTATTTAAAAAGTTTGTGTGAGTTGTATGTTCAGAACTGTTTTCAACCAGGTATTAGGCAATAAATTATTTGATGCAGTTATTAGTGTTTGAAAACACTATGCAAACTAGTTGCCTATAAATTAATGCCTATTGCAAATGCCTATTGCAAACTAGTTGTTATAAACTTTTTAAAAAAATGTTAGAAATAGTAACTACTTTTTGGTGGTAATGGTCGCACAACAATGTGAACGTACTTAATGCCACTGAACTTAACACTTAAATGTAAACTTAAATATTCTTAAGTGAACCATATACTTAAATATGGTTAAAATGGTAACTTTTATACTTACCACAATTAAAAAATGGGAAAAATGAAATATTACTACTTTTATATCTTAATACAGTTCTAGATCAATCTCAGTGTGTAGGTCCTGTTTGCAATAATTTTTCTGGATTCTTTTCTCATCCTGTTATGTGGTAGTATTTGATTTCAGTTCCTTTGGATTTATTGAGGCTATTTTTGTGGCCTAATAAGTGATCTGTTCTAGAAAATGTTCTATGTGCACTTGAAAAAAATGTGTATTCTTCAGTTTTTAGATGAAATGTTCTATAGGTGTTAAGTGGACCTCATTAATGTGATATTTAAGGCCATTATTTCTTATTAATTTTTTACCTGGATGATCTATCCATTGATGTGAATAGAGTACCAAAATCCCCTACTACTTTTGTATTACTGTGGATTTCTCTCCTTACATCCACTAATAATTGCTTTATATATTTAGGTGTTACTATGTTGGGTGCATATAAATATTTATAATTATTATAACCTCTTCTTGGATTGACCCTTTTATAATTATGTAATGTCCTTCTTTGATGTGTTTTACCTTGTTTGTTTTAAAGTCTATTTTGTCTGATGTAATTATTGCTATTCTAGCTTTCTTTTCATTTCTGTTTGCATGGAATATCTTTTTCCATCTGTTTACTTTCAGTCTGTATGGCTTTCCACTTGAAGTGAGTCTCTTGTAAGCAGCGTATAGGTGGGCCATGTTTTTTAATCCATTAAGCCACCCTATGTCTTTTTCTGGGAGCATTTAATACAATTACACTTAGGGTAATTATTGATAAGCATGTATTTATTGTCATTTTGCTCATTGTTTTTAGGTTGTTTTAATAGTTCTCCTCTGTTCCTTTCTTCTCTTGATCTCTTCCATGTAATTTGCTGCTTTTGTTTAGTGCTTTATTTAGTTTCCTTCCTCTTTGTTCTTTGCATGTCTTTTGTAGAGTTTTGGTTTGTGGTCACCATGAGGTTTCTGTATATCGTTTGTTTTCTATAGCAGTCTATTTTAATCTTTTAGGTAAAGTTCAAATATAGTTTCTAAGGACTACATTTTTACCCTCTCCTTCATGATTTATGTTATTGATGACATATTTTAGGTCTTTTTGTGTTGTGTATCTCCTAACTACTTATTGCAGTTTTGAGTTGAGTTTGATAGTTTTTTCTTTTAACCTTCATAGTAGCTTTTTAAATGTCTGATTTGCTGTATTTATTGAATATTTAGCTTTACCTGTGAGGTTTTTTCCTTTTTCATATATTCTTATTTCCAGTTATGGCCTTTCCTTTTCTATTTATAGAAGACCTCTTAATATTTCTTGTAAAGCTGGTTTAATAGTGATGAGGTCCTATAGTTTTTCTTGTCTGGGGCAGAACAGGTATTTTAATAGAGATGTATGTAATAGCTCTTACATGTTAAAAAAGGAGAATTTTTTTCCCTATAGAATGTGCAGGTGTCTTTCAACAAGGAACATGAAAAAAATGCATACTTGAGGTCTGAAATAATATCCCTTCATGAAGCATCAGAAAAAGCACAGGTAAGTCTTCTCATTTCTCTGGATTTTTAGGTGTTATTTAATTTTGTTCAATTAAGGAATGAAGAACCAAAATTAATCCTGAAGATACACATTCATACCATTACCATCATCTAAGTTTTAGTTTTTGTAAAATCTACTTCATCTATGAAATATTATCAAATTGACTACATTTCTCATTTCCCTCTCTAAATTCCTATGTGTATGAGATACACTGCCAGATCACTAGTTCACACTGTTTGCTTTCTCATTTTCTCCTTGAATGGTATATGCCTTTCTTTTCTCTTATTCACTTATAAGCAGTTTAACATCAAGGACTGTGTCTTAGACTTTCTTTGTGTCTTCTATAGCAAATAGCATAGTAAGAACTTAAATGCTTCTGGGATTTTGGCGATGTGTGTCATCATTTTCTATGGGATAGTAGTTCCCAGATTTAACTGATGTTTTATGTATATGCATATGTATGGAGAAGAGTAATCAAACATGCAGACAAACAAGTTACTTCTTGTAGGGCCCTATGAGATAATCACTTAAAAGAACTTTTTGTTAGGACAATTTGATTACTTTAATGTTGGGATCATAGTGTTGCTCTGCTTTCTTTATGACAAATATAAAAATAAATTTGTTTATAAATATATATAGTAATAACAATAACTATCACTATTGCTATACTAATAACAACATTTACTTAACCCATTTTACATTCCAGGCACAAGTCTAAGCACCTTACGTTACTAACATTGTATTCCTTGCACTAGCACTATTATTGAAAGTATTATTCTCATTTTGAAGATAAGATCTTTAATATTCAGAAAGATTTAATAATAGCTACTAAATGACACAGTTGAAATTTGAGCTCAGGCAATAGGCTCCAAAGAAAATTAGCCCTTCCTTCCTTCCTTTCCCTAATCCTCACCTGAGGATATGTTTATCAATTTTAGAGATAAGGGAAGGAAAGGGGAGAGAGAGAAACAATGATGTGAGAGAAAAACATCAATTGTCTACCTGTAGTATGAGCCTTGACCAGGAATTGAACCTGCAACCTTTTGTGGTATATGGAACAATGTTCCAACCAACTGAGCCACTCAGCCAGGGAGACATTAGCTCTTTCTTTACAAGAAGCAGGAGTTCTCCTCTGTCTCGCCCTCCATTATTCCTTGGTGAATAGTTTGTACATCTGATTACAACTTCAAAGTGCCCCTGCGTGTATTTCTAACTATTATACATACCACTTAAGATACTCTCCAGATAGTCATTCATTTATCTTTCCTTTCTTGCTACCATTTTTGAGGGTTTTTTTCTAATGATTTTTCAGTTATTTGCCCCCATCCCTGAAAAACTTGTTCATTAAAACATAACTATTTGCCAAATATACTTTGATTAAAGATAAATATTTGATTATTAAGATAAATATTTTTCTATAGGAGTACAAATCTCAAAATAGCAAAAGGACAAGAGAAGTATAAACTAACTACATGTATGGTTCATCTGTTGCACAGAAGATTTTTCTTTTATTTTGGAAGATTAATCTTGTAAAATGATACAGTTATCTGTAGTTTGCTTTTTATGAATATATACTTGGTGATGAAGGAGCTTAAATATTAAGTGTTGTTAGCTAAGTAATTCTGAATGCTCATCCAATTTTTGGAATGGATTTTTGCAATATTGGCCAGACTTCTACATGTAAATTCCACTCTTTAGATGTCTTGCTCTATTTGACCTGCGTTCAAAATTGTAAAGAACAGAAGATCAGTAAACTGTCAAATGGTTTGGTTCCTCCACCAAACCAACAGATTTCTCTTTTAATTTAGAATTATTTTGGTTGTTGACTCCAAATATTTGAAAATATTTTATAATCTGCCCTGGCTGGCATACCTCAGTGGATTGAGTGTGGGCTGCGAACCAGGCATCGCAGGTTTGATTCCCAGTCAGGGCACATTCCTGGGTTGCAGGCCATGGCCCCTGGCAACCGCACATTGATGTTTCTCTCTCTCTCTTTCTCCCTCCCTTCCCTCTCTAAAAATAAATAAATAAAATCTTAAAAAAGAGAATTTAATTAAAAAAAGAAAAAGAAAATATTTTATAATTGAATGTAATATCAATGGGGAATAGATTAAGTAACTTCAGTTTACATATTAAATGAAATACCATGCAGTCATCAAAAATAATGGCATACAAGTAAAAGTAATTACTTGTTGGATACAAGTAATCTATGACTTGCTGTGTACGTAATCTCAGGGTTTGAATGACCAACTGACTAGAAAGGGTGCAGAGCTGAACAGCGTGTTTCAGACTATTAAAGTGGAAAATGCCAAAATTGTTGCTGACCATTAAGCCATTCTGCAGGTGTTCATTTAACACCAATTTCTGATAGAGTCAGCAGGTAACCTCCTTGCTAAGAGATCAGGAAATGTGCGTAGCCAACTGGATAAATAAAATATTTTAACAATTAATCCCAAGAAATTTATTGACTTTTTTTTTATTACTGGTTTTCAGGTTTCACCAGAGGGGACAGTTGGCCTTAGACTTTCTTAACGATTTCTTCTCAAATGTCATTACCTCATGAAAAATAATCACCTGCCCCATTATTTATAGAATCATGGAGAACACTTACGACTGACCCTAAAGTACTTACCTTTCCCCAAACAACTGTGCTTTCCCGTTTTGCTTATGCCATCCCCTCTGCTGAGAATGGACTTTACATCATCTTCAACCCTTTGAATTCTCTTTATTCTTTAAGACTCACTTTCATTAGGAAGCTTGATCATTTCAAGCAGAAGGGATCTGCTTTCTCTTTCAACTTATGCTCCTAGGACACTAAATAGACTATAATCATAACAACAGCTCTAATCTTTTTGGAGTATACGAACCATACACCAAGCATTGTGTGAAGGGTTTCACATATATGGCCTCCTTTAATTCTGGCAGTCATGGTATACTGCTGGATGCAGCCCGTGCCAGCATCACAAGTCAGGAATATTTATTGTCCCCATTTTAACAGATGAGGAAAATGAGATTTAAAAGGCTAACTTGCCAGAAGTCACCTAGCTAGTAAGGGTTAGAGCTGGATTTAAACCTGGGTCTGACTCCAGTGCCAGTGTGTTCAATTATACGTTGTGCTGCCTCTCTTCTCTGCATTCCATAGTAGTAATTTATGTGCATAACTCATCATCTGTATAACATTGTGAATTTCCCAGAAGAAAGGACGTTGTCTTATATGCCTTTGTTATTTCCCAGAGCACCAGGCATGTTCTGCACATAATAAGTACTTAATATTTTTTATTAACTCAACAAACACTTAGTGTCTGCTTGCGTATGGTGCTTGTCTAGCTAGGATTATAGTGGTGAACAAAACAAAATCCCTGCTTTCATGGAATTTACAATTTAGTAAACTGAAAAATGTCACATGTGCACGTAACACTGTCCAAACATTTTAAAACGGGAATGTTACCCAAGTGGGATTCCATTTCACCAAATGTGAAGGTGTGAAGGTTTGCTTTGCAATCAAATAAGTGTTTTGAAATGTGTTTACAAAAGTAGTTGTTTATATGTACTGTATTTGCAAAAGCCTTATAAATTACACGTAGAGAGGGTTTGTATAAAAATGTTGTGATAATTCTGAATTGGTGAGACAGAGAAGATAAATTGTGCCAAAACAATGATAATAACATCATCTGAGTGCAATTTCAGACAGTCTCGAAAGAATTTACACCAAATTATTAAATATGATTTTCCCTGGAGAGTGGGATTATTTAGGGGGGTGATGACAGCGATGGAGGGTTCTTTTCACTTTTTATATAAATTGATATTATTTTACTTTAAAAAATCAAGTATATATTATATTGAAATTTCAAAGTACCAAAGTTATTCTTAATATGAATTTTATAAATGAAAATATCCCCATTTTAGGAGTTTTATGAAGTTTACAGGAAGCTGGCTAAATAATGAATCTTGATTTTTGGCTAGTAGAGCTATAAAATGATAGAATTGTGGTAAACTCAGGGTGGAGACAAAGAAGGATGTTAAAATAAAGTTGTTTAAAAGGAGGTTTTTATATATACTTATAAAATTGACCTTCTTAAGGTATTTCAGTATCTGTGATCAGCTATGAATGAAACCCTATCAAATGGCTTTCTGACCTCTCAGCACTTAATATTACCTCTAACACTCAGGTAGAGCAGAAGAAGATTGCACACACATTTCAAGAACAAAACTTACTGCTGGACGCAGCCCATGCCAGTATCACAAGTCAGCTGCAGAATGTTCAGAATGAGAAAACTCAACTCCAGACACATCTGTAAGTGAACTGTGGGAAACTTCTGCATCTTTTGTTCTTGTGTTTGTCTTTCATATCTTAAATGAAAACATTTAATTCTGCATTTGCTGGGCCAGCCACAAAAAGACTGCCCTCAAGGAACTAGTTTTGTTAGAACATTGTGGTAACTGCTCTTGGGCAAGAGGTATGTTCTGTAAGAACATTTCATCTTTTTGTTAGAGAACTCTCATTTAGCTTTCACATCTCCTTGATCTCCTCCTATAGGGACCACTTAATCCTTGAGCATAACCAGTGTATCCAGAAAGCACAGGATGCTGAAAGGAGGACAGCGGTCCAGAAAGAGCTGCTAGAATCCACTATTGCAAGGTTGCGAGGTGAATTGGAAGCTTCATCGCAAGAGAAGACATCTCTGCTAGAAGAGAAGGAAAGACTTCAGAGAGAAGTAGGTAGAAGCAGATTTATGTTAGCTGCTGGTTGTGGTCATCTTGTTTTAAAATTGTATTTGAAGTGCAAAAGACAAGAAAGGCAACCCAGATGCACTTTGTCAGAGTTGTTCATTAAAGAAATCTTTAGGTGGCCAATTTATGTCTTTTAGCATGTAACGTAGTCTGTGCCAAATAGTATATACCCTTATACAGCATTAGTGACTATTAACTAATAATTCATACACATCCTCGTTTTAGTTGGGGGTCAGATTTTATTGATTTCTCCTAAAGGAGTGAAATAATGTAGATTAAGGGGGAACAGCCCTGTCTTCCTCATTAGGAAGAAACTAGCAGAGTCTGACATGCAGACGTGTCTTTCTAATTTCAGGGCCGTTTGTGAAGTCTGCTCTGCTTCAGAGACTCCCTGAGTGGCCCCTTTTCTGAGAGGATGTGCTATCTCTGCAGTGTAGGTATTAATTGGCATGCAGGGTATGTCTGCTATAGGAGATAGCCTGTCAGCCACCTTAACACTGACCCATTTCTTTTTTTCCTCCCCCTCTCTTGGGCAGGTTAATAAAGCAGAGAAAGAAACAGCACAAGAAAAATGCAATTTTGAAAAGGAATTAGCTAAAAACAAGGTATTCCTTGTTTTATTTCACTATATTTTATTTCACTATATTTTATTTTCTTCTGTATCAGCTGATCTTAATGACAAGGTGGGTTATTTCGGTGAACACCAGTGCATGGGGGAACAGAGAAGCCAGGAGGCTGGACGCAGCTCAGAGCACAGCCGGCACTGCAGCATAAGCCTCCTTAGGGGCACCATTCGTTTACTGAGCATCTGGTGTTTACCAGTGAGTCATCACTGCCTCTGGCCCTTCTGTTCACTGAGTAGTTCGCCAGGAATCCCCTGGGAGTGAGCTAATGGGCATGTGGGAGGCAAAGGGATGTTTCTGACAATGCTGTTTAAAAAAAAAACAAAAAAAAAACGAATACAGGCTTCTTCACTACCTATTAGCACCTGCCACTTTATCTGTGAGGTGCCCTTTTCTGGGTTCTAAAAAGATAAGACTAGCCAGAGAAACAAATACAGCTCTTTTTTTAAAAAATTTAATCTTTATTATATTTTTTCAGTTGCCATTTAGCCCCCTTATATGCCCCTCTTCCCAGAAATCACCACACTGTTGTCCATTCTTGTCAAAGTAAAACAAAAAACAATGTTTAAAACATCGCTGCTTACATTTCAGAATTTGGAGAGAATTAAGATTTATGTGTCACTGTTATCTAGAGAACGTATCTAGAGCATCAAGGAACAGCAGCCTGCTCAGGCAGTCAGCTCCGTAAGATGGGCAACAGGTGTCAATACAGACATCAAGCCTGACAGTTCCTGGGCTCTGGCTCGAACCTTGGCTCTGGCATTTGTGTCACTATATGTAAGTTAAATTTTAATTTAAGAAGTGGGCACAGGAAAAAAGCTAAATTCTTAGCCCATGCTCAAATACCATTCACCAGGGGGCTGGTGCCTCCTGTGGTTTAGTTGCTAATACTGAGAGAACTGAAATAGCTGACCGTAAAACTCATTGAAACTTCTTGTAGTAAGGACTTTGCTGGTATCAAATTTGGCCTCAAATATGCTTTTTTGAAAATTAGTGTCTATTATTAAATTTATGAATCCTATCCTTTTTGTTAGAAATGTTGGTGAATGTTACATGGCTGACATAAAAATAGTGCTATTCTGCTTGTCTGATTTATGTCTGATTAAGCCCACTTAATGTGGGCTGAGCGTAAGATGACAGCACTGAAACATCCTTACTCATTTGAGGGGTCGTATTAGGCCAGTGGTAATGCTTGCAGAGTCTAATTTTTTGGTCTAAATTGGTATTTTTAATATATGCATTCTTTGTAAAGCTATGCTTTTTTGAAGTCAGGTTTATTGACTTAAAATTTACATACAGTGAAATTTGCCCTTTTTTGTGTTTGACTCTGTGAGTTTTGACAAATGCATGCAAGCATGTAACTACCTTCACAATAAAACACAGAGCATTTCTGTCATCCCAGAAAGTTCCCTTGTGTTCTTTTGTAATCAGCTTCCCCCTCCACCTGCAACACCCCCTGGCAGCCAAGCCACTAATCTGTATTTCTGTTCCTGTGGCTATCTTTTCCAGAGTATTACATAGGTGGAATCATGCAATATGGTGCATTTTAAGTCTGGCTTCTTTTATTTAGCATAGAGCATTTGACTTCCATCCGTGTTGTTGTATTACAGTTGGTGTTCCAATATATGGATGTATCACAGTTTCTTTGCCCATTTGCCAAATGAAGGGCGTTTGGGGTGTTGCCTATATAAATACATATGAACATATATTTTTATTTCTCTTGGGTAAATATCAGGAACTGAATTTCTGGTAAATATATGTTTGACATACTGACAAACTACTCAACTGTTTTCTTAAGGATGTGTATCATCTTGCATCCTTACCAGTAATATATGAGTTACAGTTTTCTCTATCTTCTTAACACTTGGGATTGTCTGTTTTTCCTTTTAGCCATTATGGCATGTAGTAGTGTATCATTGTGGCTGTAATTAGCATTTCTCCAGTGACTAATAGTATTGAGCATCTTTTCTAACTCCCACATATATACCACAATTTGTTTATGTTAATGGACATTGGTATTGTGTCCATCTTTTAGCTGTGGTGAGTAGTGCTGCTATAAACATGTATGTGTGTATTTGTTTGAGTACCTGCTTTCAGTTCTTTGGGATATATTCCAGGAGAGGACTTACTGGGTCACATGGAAAGTTAATGTATGGTTCAACTTTCCTACATTAGATTGTGTTCCATGGTGTTAAGCCATTTTATATTCCCACCAGCAATGTACAAGGATTCCAATTTCTCCACATCCTCATCAGCCCCTGTTATTTACTTTTATTTTTTATTTTTTAGACATAGAGAAAGGGAAAGAGAGAGACAGGGAGAGAAACATTGATGTAAGACAGAAATAACAATCCGTTGCCTCTTGTATACACCCTGACTGGGAACTGAATCCGCAACCCAGACATGTGCCCTGACCGGGAATCAAACCTGTGACCTTTGGTTTATAGGACAACACTCCAACCAACTGTACCACATCAGCCAGGGCTATCATTTTTGTTTTTTTATTATAGCTATCCTAGTAGGTGCAAAAGTGGTATCTCATTGTGGTTTTGGTTTGTGTTTCCCTAATGTTAACAATGTTTATCATTTTTTAATGTGCTTATTGGCCATTTGTGTATCTTCTTTGTATAAATATCTATTTAGATCCTAGCCTATTTTTAAACTGTGTTTTACATCTTTTAATTGTTAAGTTGTAAGAGTTCTTTATACAAGAAAGGAACCCACCCCCCCAACAAATGACATTATCTTGTGGAGGGCAGGCCCCTTGTAGTACAGGCTCCCTCCGCTAGGTGAGGGTTCTAGGAACCCATCTGGTCAGTGCACCAGCTGGCTTTGCTGTGAGAGGCTGTGTTCTGCATCAATGAATTTTTTTGTTTAAAGACTCTTTCAACCGTGTTTGCCCACTTCATGATGGGTGATTTATGAGTGCACTTGCCCACACCACTCTGAGTGTTCAGCAGTTTTGGGTCAAAAACATCATGAACCCCATGTGCCACCCCCCATTCACCCTTATCTCACCCTGAGTGACTTTTTGTTGTTTCCCTGGATAAAAAAGTCCTTCAAGGGAAATGTCCTGCTGATGTGGAAGTGGTGAAACAATAAAATGGCTGAAGCACTAAAAGGTATCAAAATCAAAGAGTTCAGAACTTTTTGAGCAATAAAAAAAATTTCAACAGGTGTATTGCATCAGATGGAGAGTACTTTAAAGGCGACTGAAGTTTAAACATGTGAGAATAAGTATACATTTTCTATAAATAAATTCCAGATTTTGGGGGGTCTTCCTTGTATATTCTGGGTAGTAGGCCCTTATCAGATATGATTTGTAGATATTTTCTCTCATTCTATGGATTGTCTTTTTAAAGTTTTAGATTTTTATGAAGTTTATTTTTTCCCCTTTGGTTGCTTGTACTTTATTTTTTAAAGTTCTTTTATTGTATTTTTTCTCCACTACCTTTCAATCTCCTTATATCTCCCTCCCCGCCCTCCACAATCACCACATCAGTGTCCTTGTCCATGAGTCCTTTTTCCTTTTTGCTCAATCCCTCCACCCTAACCCCCGCTTAGTTGTCATCCTGCTCTCTATCTATGAATCTGTCTCAGTTTTGCTTGTTTGTTCAACTTGTTCGTCAGATTCCACATATGAGTGAAATCATATGGTGTTTGTCTTTCTCTGACTGCCTTATTTCACTTAGCATAATGTTCTCCAGGTTTATCCATACTATCTCAAAGGGTAAAACGGTCTTGTTTTTTTTTTATGGCCCAGTAGTATTCCATTGTGTAAGAAGGTAGCCAAGTTTCATTTCTCTGCACATGTCTGTCCAATTTTCCCAACACCATTTCTTGAATAAACTATCTTTAGCCCCTTGTGTGTGCTTGCTTCCTCTGTTGACTATTAATTGATGATAAAAGTGTGGGTTTATTTCTGGGCTCTCTATTCATTTCCGTTGATCTATGTGTTTGTTTTTATGCCAGTACCATGCTGTTTTGATTATTATGGCCTTATAGTACAGTTTGATAGTAGGTAGCATGGTTCCTCCAACTTTGTTCTTTGTCAGGATCACTGTTGCTATGCAGGGCCTTTTGTGGTTCCACACATAAAATTTTCAAATATTTGTTCTAGTTCTGTGAAATACATCATAGGAATCTTGACAGAAATTATGTTGAATCTATAGATTGGGTAGCATCAACATTTTTTTTAATTCAATCTTTATTTTTTTCCATTACCATTTAGTCCCCTTATACCCACCTCCCCCAACAATCACCACTGTTGTCCATATCTATGAGTCTATTTTCCTTTTTAGCATGGATATTTTAATGATGTTGATTTTTCCTATCTGTGAACACAGTATATAGTTCCACTTGTATCTTCCTCAGATTCTTTCTTCAGTGTCTTTTAAATTTCTCAATACAGGTGATTTATATCTGTGGTTAGATTTATTCCTAGGTATTCCTCCTTTTTGAAGCAATTGTGAATGGGATTGTCTTCTTAATTTCCCTTTCTGATAATTCATTATTGGCATATAAAAATGAAACTGATTTCTGGATGTTAATTTTATATCCTGCAACTTTGCTGAATTCATTTATCAGCTCTGGTAGTTTCTTGGTGGAATCTTTGGGGTTCTATAATATCAGTATCAGTAAAGACAGTTTTACTTCTTCCTGTCCAATTTGCATGCCTTCTATTTCTTCTTGTCTGTTTGCTATGTCTAGGACTTCCAGAATTGTGTTGAATAAAAGAGGTGAAATTGGACACCCCTGTCTTGTTCCTGATCTCAAGCGGAACGCTTGTAATTTTTGCCCATTGAGTTCGGTGCTGGGAGTGGGTTTGTCATATGTGACCTTTGTTATGTTTAGGTATGTTCCCTCTATTCCCACTTTGCTGAGGGTTTTTATCATAAGTGGGCGCTGGATTTTATCAAATGCTTTTTCTGCATTTACTGATATGATCATGTGGTTTTTATCTTTCATTTTGTTTATGTGGT